ATTATTCTTACGATTAATCGAGTAATCGGATTAAAAAAAATATAAAATGAAATATTGGTAAATCTGGCACAATACCGGTGTTACTATCAGATATCAATATCAGTCCAATTTTTCATATTTGAGCATCCCTACATCCCTAACAGTCAATTAGAAGCGTGTTTCGGTTGTAAAACATTTATTCGGATTAGAAAAACATTTCAGGAATTTGTGATGTATGCTGTTGCCATGGGCAACCAGGCAGGTTCAACTTTGTTTTTATTTCTCTGGGGATAAAAGTGAACAAAGCCTGTTGATGACGATGATGACACACACGTGCAACCAAACGGCGAGGTTATCCGGTTCACAGGGACCCTCAGAAGAGGGACGGGGGGAGACTGTGTGGGGGCGGTGGGTTGTGTTTGTAAACAGATCAGGAAGCGGGGTCGACCCCTTCCTCGCCCTGACGTCACACTCATTCAGTTAAGTCGCTTTGTTCTGCTTGCTGTGATTTATCAAAAGAAGAAAGTTTATAGACCGTCTGCTAATCAGTGGCAAATGTCAGGAAAGGCCTTCACCTGGGTCGCTCTCAATAACAAACGCTTTATAATAGATTCCTCTATCAATCCATTATAAAGCGGACTCATAAAGATGCAATTTTACCAGAAAAAAAAAAAATTAAATCAAAAGAAAAAAAAATTAATGAGGGAAGAAAATCTTAGATAGTTATCCAGATCATGTGGTTCGTTCTTCAAAATACCCTCATTACCTCAGTTGTTTCAGAGTTTTGCTATATTGACAATAATTTGTTGCTGATGTGTTAAAAGATGAAGTATTTCCTTATCTGTAAAACAGATACCAAATTATAACTTCACAACATGCTCAACATTCTTCATTTTGTTATTTTTTGTGTTGGAGGTCTCATAAAATTACTACCTTATTCTCATTACGACATTATTCTAGTTTTATTTCGACTTTACTGTAAAATTTTATTGCAATAATATTATTACTTTATTCTCACGATAAAAAAATAATCGTAGCTGGATGATATGGCTGAAAAACGTATCACGATATAAGCATTTATGGTTTCGCACAGTCTGAAACCTGAAACAGCTCCTGTGGCAGTTACTCTACAAGTTGTTGCTAGGTAACCAAAGAGTGAGTGAGTTGCTAGGTAACCAAAGAGTGAGTGAGTTCTGGGTTGAATTTCAGTGAAAATTCTCTATATAGAACATTGAATATTCTATCAGACGTATTATCTATTGATATTGATCACGTTTCTTTTCTAATAGATATTATTGATTTATTGTCCAGCCCTATCTGACCCCTATATTCTGTCATAGAGTTGACCAGAAGTCAAAGTCCAATTAAATACAAACTGTAAAACTCGCTTGTCAAACAAGATGGCTACCTTAGGCATGCTGACGTTACTCTGAACTATGGAAACCCAAAAATTAAATCTTCAAAAGCCAGAAATTTGATGAATCGATTCAGCCTCACTGTTACAAACCCTTCCCAACCAAACCAACTAGCAACCTTTGACTCCATGTTAAATTAATAACCCGGCGCTGTCTGGGACACCTGGGGTTATCGCATTAGCCTGACGGTCCGGAGCGGAGCAGCAGCACCCTGCCACCAAAGGGGCCGTGTTCTCCCTCCTAACCCCACCCTCATCTCTTGTTGTCTCTGGCACCAAGGGCTCACTTCACCGTAAGCCCCCTCCATACAAAGTCAGCCAGTCAAAGAGAGGAGATCTGCTGCAGATAAATCTAATTAGACTGGAATGCCCGTCTCCTCTGAGCCTTCGGAAGGTCACCTCATGCCAGAAGAGGTTAGAGGAAGTGCAGGAGTTTCAACACTGATAATTGGGAAGATTGTATCTGTGTGAACGCCGTTTGACTCGGATGGTACGAGTTCTGCTTTTGGACGCATTGAGATGTTTTCATTTGTTGTTTTTTTTAGGTGCATCTCCGCCTTATCCTGGTCAGCGGCAAAACACAAGACTTCACTTTCTCTCCAAACGACTCGGCCACAGACATCGCCAAGCATGTGTTTGACCACTGGCCTGCAGGTACGTTGTATGGATTCTATAATTTGAACATTTCTTTTATGTAAACCCTCAGTTATCCTCCTAATATTGCCTTACAAAATGTCAGTTTACTGAACCCTGTATATGTTTTTATATTATACTGTTGAAGAATAAGATGTGCATACATATTCTTGAAACAAAGTAAAAATAGTCTACATCAACTGTTAGAAGTAGATCAATTTTATCCAATAAGATGCAGGCGGTCAGTGAATGTGTCTTGAAGTACGTTTAATCTAAAGTGTGGGATATTGTAAATTATGTTGAACTTCACCAAATAATAAATCTAGTATATTCATCTAAACATTTCTATCTAGTATTATTTTACATTTCCACCACATGGGGCCAAAGTGTGACCCAGGGGCCATTTTTGGCCCTTGAAATTTTGATTGTTCACAAGTCAAGAGGGATAAAAATTTGGCCAACAAAATAAAAATCTACAGAAAACCCCAAATATTTTAAATTGTCTATCTTTTAATAGGGAAACAGTCTAAAACCTTTTTTATGTTTCCATTCTTTAAAGATGTATAAATGTAATAAAAATGTTGCTTATTATTGAGCAAATTAAACTAAAATCAAAGAAAAATCACATTTGCATTTTTAATTCAAGAAATGTTGAGTTGTTTAAATTTGCCAGTTTTGGCCCCAAGGGAAAAAAGTTTTTTTTAATTTTCCAGTTAATCCTAAATGTCAATAAACATTGTTAAACATTAATGTTTACAAGGCGATCGGTTACACTTTGTACTTCCATTTGGGTCTAATCTGCTTCTAAAAACAATTTTAAAAAATCCGGAATGGTAAGTCACATTCCTTGGTGCTGCGCCGTTACCTAGCAACCCCAGCCACACCCAGGCCGTTACTTAGCAACCCAAACGAAACTCAAGAACATTTGGTCAGCTTGTTTTATGGATCTATGCACTGTACAATAGCTGCTGGGAAAGACAAGTGTTTTGTTGCTGATTTACCATCCAGAAATCACTTACTGCATTTGTGTTGGTTGTGCAGGAGGCTCACTTTCTGCTTTTCAAAAATGTATAGTTGTAAAGCAGCACCTTGTTACCAGAAAAAAATAGATTAAAATTAGATATGGTCCCAAAATGTTGGAGATTTTATTTTTCATGCCATATTCGCACAGCCCTACATTCAATTTCTTGGTCAAAATACTCGCTCGTCTAATAATTGTGCGCACAGTGCAGAAGAAAAACATTTTACGATAAACTTTTTTCCTTTTTCTATGACAGGATGGGAGGAAGAGCAGGTGAGCAGTCCCAGTATACTGCGCCTCATTTTCCAGGGGCGCTTCCTTCATGGCAATGTTACGCTGGGAGGTGAGACCTTCTCTGATGCAACCCAATCACACCGGCAATCAATAAAACTGTATTTGTAGAGCCGTTTTCATACAGCCAAAGTGCTTAAGAGGTACAGAACAGAAGGAAATATGATCGAAAATTATCAAACTAAGCAAACAAATAATGTTTATCTAATGGAGAAAATAAAAATGGTTTGCACCAAATCTTTAGGAACATTTTTGGTGGCAGATTTTACTTTAAATTTGAGTTAAATGAAGGGACCTGCAGCTGCAGTAGCAGTCTTCCTTTATCTAAGCAGGTTGTGGTTTAAGACATTAACGGCTAAGCCTTGCCAAAGCGGTCTAAGGAGCGAATGAATGTGATCATCTGTTTTCTTTAAACTCATTAAGCAGTTGACCTTTCGACCCCGCTACTCTCCGCCTGATCTCCACCTGCGCTCACTGGCTTGAAGTCAAATGAACAGGTTGATTGTTGGCTTCAGTGGACTAAACACTCGTATGATTTACCAATCTATAACATTCAGGGTGTAACGTGATAAGATAAAGCAGAAATGTTTCCAATACAGTAAATATAAACTGCATCACAGCGCAAGATTATTGGCCCAGAAATTAGTTTTACTGATGATAAAACAACATTTAAAACAACATGGTTGAGAGAAATTGAGACAATGAGGTTATCATTTGTTATTTCTATTTTCAACAATTAGAAAATGAAAATGTGATAAGTTCATTTATATTAGAATCGGATTAAAAACATTTCATTCAGATGATTAATATTTTATGGAATGTAATGCAAGGTTTACAGAAACCTTGCATTTAATTTTATTTCTGTTTTAAGTGGATTTTATTTCTGATTTATTTATTGTTTTTGGATATTTAAAACATCTTCCATCTCTATTGTTAAGTGTTCTTTACAAAATTAAAGTTTCCTGATCTTTGACAGAACAAACTTGGGACAATTTATCGTCCAGCAAAATTTGTAATCACGACAGGACTACTTATGAATCCTTTTCTTTCCACCTTAAAATTATCCCTATGGCAACCCCTGCCATGCCCAGCTCTGTTACCTAGCAACCCAAGCCGAGCTCCAGCACATTTGGTCAGCTGTTTTTTCCACTGTATGCTCTCAATAATGGCTGCTGGAAAAGACAAGTGTTTTGTTGTTCACTTACCATCCAGAAACCACTTGCTACATTCTTGTTGGTTCTGCAGGAGGCTCCACTTCTGCTTTTCAAAGACTAGGCTCAAATCTCATTATTTAAGAATAATTTTGTGCAAAAAATGTAATGGACATGTTTTGAGAAACATAATTAATAAAACAGTTTACTGATGTTTGTTTCCTGTTTGAAGCTCTGAAACTGCCACCGGGACGAACGACTGTCATGCACTTGGTTGCAAGGGAGACTCTTCCCGAGCCCAACTCTCATGGTTAGTGTTGTCATAAAACCAAGAGTTTTCCTTCCAAGTTTTAATTTGTTGACTGGAATATTTAGTAAATATTTGCATGTTTGGAACAAACCAAGGCACAGATTCATTCCTCATCCTGTTTACGGCTGGAGTTTCTCATCGACTCAAGGTTTTAAATCTGCTTGTCTCTTCTGTCTTGTCTTTGTAGGTCAGAGGAACAGAGAAAAAACCACAGAAAGCAACTGCTGCCTCCTCTTGTAAAGCATCAGAAACCCCCTTCCCTCCTCCTCTACCCCAACATCGAGCAAACTAAACATAGCGCGCACCTAAACATGCACAAACTCCCTCACTTTTTTCTCCTGCTGCTCGCCTCTTCGCCTGCAGATATGGAAGAAATCGCAGGAAGTCCCGTTTCGGGGACGCTTTGGTTGAACTCTTGTCCGATCTGAGGCATTTTTTTTTCTGTTGTTTTTATTTGTGCCAATATACCCCTCCAACACAATTTTTACCATCTGCATTACTTCCTGTAGCCATTTCCTTTTAATTTTAAGATTTCACCAATACACGCTCTCTGCCACACATGAGGTGTTTTTAAAAAGCTGGCATTTTTAGTGTTAAAGACCTGGAAGCTCACAGCTTTTTAACGGACTTATAAAGGATTTTGTGGGCTTTAACCCTCCTCTACTATTTACATGGACAATTCCCCGGGTCCTGCTGCACTTAACCTGTCTAATTATGAAGTGTTTATTGGTTAATCTCCTCCTTCAACATGTTTATTTTTTTTTGTCTTTTGGTTTTTTTTTCTCTCATGTAGTAGAAAATTTGCCAGACATTTTCTGCAGAACTAACTGAACCGCCTGCGTTTGTTCGTTTCTGTCGGAGAAGCTTCGGCGAAGAGAAACTGTTTTGGATCCACGGATTCGTTTGGTATTTTGTTGTAATAATGGGAGGTGAGTAGAAAAGAAAGCGGAAAAAACAAGACGTGAGGGAGAGATGGTGTTAGTTTAATCCTCCTTCCAACCAATGGAGGCTCACAATGAGGCAGAATATTTAGTTTTTCCCCCGTGACGGGTGTTGGGAAGAACAGGAAAGAAGGACGGGTTTTCACCTCCCTTTCATTTTGGATGCCGTCTATATTTCATGTTTGCCTTTTATTGTGGAATTCATTAATATCATTAATAAGGAAATTTAAATATATCAATTTTTATCTTGTGTATAGGTATTTGTTGAGTTTGTGTGCGAGTCTGTCTGAGGGTGTGTGATGCACGTTGCATACTGTGTGAGGACTAGTGAGATTTTTATTTTGAAGTGGTGCACTGTGACAGGCTGCGGAAACCTTTCGATTCCTTCCATTGAGTGTCCTTTGGTTTGTGTTTTTGTCGATCAGTGTCACTGCTATGAAGTTTTAGCTCAGTATGAATAAATGTAAAAAAAAAACTAAAATGCAATGTCGTCAACATAAAAGCTTGTATTATAAATTAATAAATCTTTACATAAGGCAGATTCTTTGAGCTCAGATTCATTTTTTTTCCAGTTTTTGGGTTTTTAATTTTCAACACAGAAACGGTTTTATACCAGAAAACTTGCTAAGCTCAGGGCGCTTGGTAGTCATTCATCCAGCCTTCATATATTCATGTTTTTGAGTTAAAAATGCTTAAAGTTGACAGGAAATTTGAAAATATTACTTGATGGTTATGCATTTTTGGAAGACTAATATTCATACCTAAACACCAACTATTGAGTCTTAAAAAAGACAATTTAAACAACTAAGATGGTTAACAATGCTCAGCCTGGTGGGGGCACAAATCAAGCCTGGTGGCCCACCAGGCTTATAATTCAACGAAGGAAACCCAGCAGAAAATCATGCTGCAAATAGACTTGGGTTGGGTTCTTAGATAATTTCTAAAGATGTTAAATTGGTTCAACAATTTATAAAATTCTTCTATTCAAATGTGTATCACCCATTTTCTCACTTGTTCCTTCAAAAATTTTTTTACACATTTTGTTACATTAAAACTACGGATGAAATGATAAATTTGATTGTGATGAATTATTGAAATTATCTTCAAATTCAGTAATCGATTAATTGTGAACTGACTCAACAAAAAGTCATTTGCTGAAAAAAACATTCACAGCAACAATTGATTAAAAACTACAAAACATATTTGCAGTTTGCATTTAATATATAAACGCATAAGTTTCAGCCAAAAGTCAAGTTACAAAGTTTTAGCTTCACTTGTTTCAGATTTACTAAATGAATGTTATTACATTTAATTTTAAGCCATAAAATGTTTTCTTATTTAAAAAAGGAATGGGATTATTTTTTTAATGTATTTCTTGCATTAAAAAATGGTTGAATGGTTAAATGAAATGAATGAAAATGGTTAAATGGTTGAATGAAAAACCTGTTGTATGTGGCACTTTATCTGATTAATCAATTATGAGAATGATAAATAGATTGATTACTACAATAATAGTTACAGCCATGATTACAACTCCAAATTCCAGTTCATTTTATTGGGATTTTACATGGTAGACCAACACAATGTGGTGTATATTAGACTTTACAGCAGATTTTCAGAGGACGCCTCAGAAAGATGTAGGGAAGATAAATAAAAAAAACAAAACCAATTTAAGCATTCATGAATTTTTATTTAAATGTTTTTTGTTTGTTTTTATCAAGAGGAACGGACCAGAACTGTAGAAACTATCATTCCTCTATGACCATGTAAAAAAAAAACTAATGCTGCAAACTTAATCCAAAACTCTAGATCAGTTTCTGTTCAAACTGATTTTATTCAGTGAATATCCTCCTCAGATAGGTGGTGTATTGTCCTGTTTGGCCTGTAGGTGGCAGTGTCCCTCTGTTAGCCTAATGCGGGATCCTAAATAAGGTGTTTAAAAAATATTTTAAGCAGTTCGGAACTGGAAATAATAGCATGTTTATTAGAGCGTGGTATTTGGTGTTTTAACGTTTAGAGGCATAAAAACATTAATTTAGCAATTTGAGTGTCGCATGGAAAGCTGTCATCACTGCGTGCTGAGGAGTTAAAGTTTCCACCGAGCTGAACTTCAGCAGCTGTTTTCTGGTCTGCTGCTACTTAACTCTGGCAGAGATTCTCAACAATCCTCAAATCTCTCAACAAACGGCTCTTTCACAATGTAGCGAGGAGACGTTTACCACAGTTTCCACTTATCTGAAGTTGTTTTTCTGGGTGTTTCTGCAGAGAGTGACGGAGTCGGAGCAGGAGTTGACCACAGAGATCAGCTGCGTCCTAACGAGAGTCCAGGGAGGCGATTTGTTGAGCTGTCGGCTACCGAAACCCCCTACAGTTCCTGCAACCTCTGCAGGATGAATTACTTTCTGTGGCTGACATGACCCTAAGCGCGCATGCAGCCAGAGTCTGGACGAAATGAAGAGACTTCCTGATTTTTATTTAAAGGCCTCAGACCAGGGGTGGCTAAAATACGGCCCAGGGGCCAATTGTGGCCCTTGGATTGATTTTGTGTGGCCCTTGACTGAATGGTTGAAGTTTGACCCTGCAACACTTTTTGTAATTTCCATCAAGAGTTCATATCTTCTTAAGCAGAAAATATGAAGTACAGCACAAATAAATTTTCTTTTATTTTATTTCCATCTCATAATAAGTCTTGCCAGTTTTTATTCAAAAACAAACTTTGCTACGTCCATCCATTTTATTTGGCTAAATAAAGCAAAGTTTGTGAAAGAAACGTATCTTCAATAACTCTGAAAAATCTAAATTAATGAGTTACAACAACATTTAATT